TAATAATAATACTTGCATTTGATGCAGCGCCTTAGCACATCTTCGAGATTCTCAAAGTGTAGTGACTGTACGTTTTGTGGGCGAAACCCAGCAGCTAATTGCGCACAGCAATTACAATTACATTAGCTGATCGGTGGCTGTACATTTCGAGATTTACTCGTGTCGTTTTTGTGCAGATTTCAAAACTCGAAAGCAGTTAAATATTTATATTTGACCTTATTTCTACATTTCAATCCATCAATAACACTCTTGAAATTTAATGTATGAGAGAAGGCAACTTGTATATCACTGGTGAAATCAATGGTGTTTGAAAGCTGTAAAGTCGGGACCATTATTGTTCCTCTCCAGACAGTTGCAGTGTGTGCTGCTTTCTGCCACATACGACAGACTCAGCCTGGCCCAGAACAGACAGTTATTTCACAAACCGGGATTTTGTTTCTCAGCCTTGTATATAGTTCATGAACATATCGGCAATAATAATAATAATAATAATCCTTGCATTTGATATAGCGCTTTTCACATCTTCTAGACGTCTCAAAGCGCTTCACAGAATAGACTGTGAATTGAATTGACTGTATATTTGAGGGCGAAACACGGCAGCCAATTGCGCACAGCAGCGTCCCCACAGTTGTGGACTGAGTGACCAAATTATTATTTTATTTATTATTTTCTTGAGGGATTATTATCAGGCGAATGTGTGGAGTAAGGAAACTTGCCCAAGGTTTCGCCCTGCCGTTCATTGAACCCAGGTCCTCTCGCTTGCGAGGCGAGTGCTCCAACCACTGAGCTACAGGATTCTAAATGGAAACGGCAACACAAGGAGAAGATAACTTGTCAGCGATCCAGCTACAGTCACCAAACAAGTTGCCTGTGATCCAAGGGTTAATTCCACTGTGCTAATGAACCATTCGCTCCTAGTAAATCTCACCCATCTCCAACCATGTGTCACATTCGGAAACATTTAAACAAAAATAATCATCAGAAAGGAGGAAAAAATGATAGCAAGTGCTAAACAAATGCTAACTCTTAACTTTTTAGTCAAAGAAAACTGAAGATGAGGTTCAGTTTTATATTTTTGCAGGAGAAATACCAACCTTGGTCTCTATTACATGATTACTGTCCCACAAATTTATGAGAAATTGAATATCTATAGTCAGTGTAGTAATGATTAATGATTAATTAAACAAAAGGTCAGCGTTAACAACAGCAGCTTTGGCGTAGATCTATCATTTCCAATTCGAAATCAATCTTTTTTTTAAAATTGCAAATCTGCTGATTCAGTCTCATAGCAGACAGACAAAACCAAATCGTCAAAAAAGGAATTATCTTTGACAACATTAGAGATGTCACACTAATCAATACTGCTGAACTATCATGAGCAAACATTAGATAATGATGACTTGTGATTAGTGGTACAGTACATCGGACAGCACTTAAACCACATGCCTAACAACAAAATCAACCAGACTGCAAAGCAGCTTAGAAATCAAACACTGTTGTGCAAGCGACAATGTCTAGAGTATCATGTGTACAAGGGGAAGGAAACTCTGCTTGACTTGTATAGACTGCTGGTCAGACCCAATTTGAAGTATTGTGTTCAGCTTTGGGCGTCCAATCTTAGGAAGGATATGGTAGCTTTGGAGGGGGTCCAGCAATGATTCGCTCAATTAATACCTGGGATGAAGGGGTTTAGCTGTGACGAAAGGCTGATTGAGCACGAGTTAGACTTTCTGGAGCTGAGGACGTTAAGCACGATGTGAACAAGGGGACAAGAGGACACAGAGTTGTAAGCAGCAATTTCAGGACAGACACCAGGTAGCTTTCTTTACCTAGAGGGTTTCCAGGAAGGGTGGTTGAGGCTAGGACATTGGGACTTATTTAAAAGCATCTTGATGCAGTTGATGGGTGGAGGGGGGGGGGGGAGAGATATTCTAGAAGGATGAGATCAGATGGGCCAAAGGGCCCTCTTCATCTGAACCAATCGTATGATCCTGTGAAAGGATCCTGACGTACTTATCGACTGCAACTTGAAAATCCAAGATGTCGCAGAGACAGTTTTAATAAAAAAAAATCTCAGTTCCTTCCCAAAGTAGAATAATGCTGCTTCAGCCCACAAGTCAGTAACAGGATACACTGGCCAGAACACAGAGGTCTGTCCAAACAGTGTGGAGAGCAACAATGAGAGGAAGCCTGACAATGAGGCATAGCGCGTTGGCACAAAAGAAAAAGAATGGTAGGACATGAGATTACACCCGTAATTCCTCTCGGCAACACAGCAAGTTCTGATCTCAGATGAATACTGAGGAAAGATGCTATGCAGAAGCCAAATGCTTTCCAATGATGCAGGGGAGAGGGGAGCATTCTTGAGCAATTGTTAATTTTACTTTGGTCAGCAAGTGTCTGACACATACCCAGTAAATGCTTAAGAGAACCTAAAGCAGGTACTAAAGACCTTCCTTTTTGATCGTGCTTATGGTAACCTTCCCCCTCCCTCTCCCCCTGGCTCGAGGTCAGACTCCGCCACTGTTAAGGGCTCCGCAATGCTACCCAGCATGAAGGGCGCTATATAAATGCAAGTTGTTGTTGGGAGTTTTAACCAGCAAAAAACACATAGTTCGCCGGTGAGAGGGAGCACTATTTGGCAAGCTGCCTGTTCAAACAGTACCACAATACCAGCGAAGGTCTTGGCTTGCAGGATTAACAAGAGGCAAGTGAGAAGAATTCCTGCCCCCAGAGAGCAACTCTTAATAGCCAGTCAGGGTGTCTTCTACTACAGGATCAGTTAGCACAAGATTGAACCAAGAAAAAAACACCCATACGGTATTCCACAAGAGAAACCAGAGAGTACTTGCATGGAAACTCTAGCAGGTGCTAGCAAGCACTTTGAATTTAAAGAGTCACTTCCCCAGAACCAGCAAATCCTTATTAAATCCGCAACCAATTAAGATTGGGATATTAAAGACAGCAGATCTCATTAAAATGTTCTACTGTCAAAAGCAACCTACGTAAATGCCCAACTCTGAACCATTAAACTGAAACAAGTTAAAGGTCGGACTCCACAAGCGATCGCAGAATTGATGAGCGGGAGCTCTGTCTGATTTGTCTCTCCACATCACAAAGCAAGGAGGACAATTGTAGCAGGAACTCACGCATGATCGATTGTTGTTTTGTAACGTACAGTGGAAACCCGACACTTACTTCCCCAAACCTGTGTGCCAAAGTGGCCACTGTCCAGATCATGAGAGCACTGCCATTGTTTCCTTGGCAGCAGCCCGAAGACCTAGAAACCAGCCAATGTGTCTATCCCTGGCCAGGCGGCATTCTGAAGGACCAATGGAGCTGGCAGTCTTGCTTTGCACAAGTGAAATAAATGCAGAAGCGCTGACTTAACAATCACACTCATTATAGCGCTGGATGAGATGGAATCCCACCGCCAACCCCCCCCCACCCCACCCCCAACCTCCTATCGCCACGTCATAACAGGCCTCCACTGTATAAAAGGGATTAAAACTCTGAATAAAAGTCAGCAAAGCACCTTCACTATAAAACTGGCGTTTCTTCAGATTCACACAAAGGTCTGAAATTGCTGGTGGGAGGACATTGAGCTTTTAACTCAACTCGAAGAGAATGTGAACTTGAAACGTGTAGGATTCGCTCAGTATAAGGATTTTATAAACATGTGGAAAATGATGCCGCACGCAGGCTGGGTAATAGCATTAAAACATTTAGAATGGTTCAAGAAGCAGCACTGTGCTTGAGGCTGTAAATCCTTAAGCTGCAAGTTCCCCTCTTGGGGTCAAGCCATCAGGAAAGTACAAACTAGGTGTTTCCCCCAAAGTCAGGGGCAGTAATCAAGAGAGTGACCTGGGTACAAACAGCATTGGCAAAGTTCATCTGCTCCACACTCCTGGCTGCAGGATAAGAAACAGAAAATGTAACTTGACTCTACATACGATTCGACTGCCACCTTTCACAAAGCGACATTAAATATTCCCATTTCTTACCAACCTACTCCATTGCTACACTTCAGCTCTGTTGCTAGTTATGATCAGTATAATATGTATAAAACACACGTATTACGCGATTGTAAATCGACAACTTGACTATAGCGCAAACCTTCCCAATTCATTTCAGGAAAAAAATACATTTCATACACTGACAGTTAACTAAAATATGAAATCCACAATATGTACAGTGTATTCTGTGAAGTGCTTTGAGACGTCTCGAAGACGTGATGAGACGCTAGATAAAACACAAGGATTATTATTAAGGATTATTATTAAAATGCTCTCTTTCCATAGGATTCTAATGCTGCACGCTGACTTTCAGACAAGCCAGCACTGATGCACTCACTAAATGTTGGCTAGAGTGAATCAATTTAATATTTATATCCCTGCATTCAAACAGCAGGGAGCTTCCAGTATCTGGTCACGTGGTTAAAGCCTCGTAAGATTACTGCAGACCAGCAGAAGTTGCTGGGAAGTCTCGAGTCACTCTGCAACGTTAACTGGTGTTAACATTTACCTGGGGCTTTTCTTTTAACCCTTCCATTGCAAACCTCTTTAAATGAACTGGTGCCGTATATATCAGAGGGTTTCGGGACATCTTCATGGCCTGAAAGGCGCTATGTAACAGTAGGCTATGGGCTCAACAACTTGAATATATACAGCACCCTTCATGTAGGATACCATCTCAGAACCGCTTCACAGTGACAGGGTTGGAAGCCGAGCGAGGGAGAAAATGGAGGGGGGAATGGGGGGTGGTTGGGGGCAATCTGTAAGTCTCTGTAAGCTTCCCAACTTCCCAAAGAGATGTACTGCTTGTGTTCCCGGTGATGTCAGTAACAACACCCAAAGGGTGAGTGTTGGTGCTGTTAGCGACATTGTGCTCTGTTGATTTTTCGCCATGAAGATGGGCACTTTGGTACAAGCCCGAATGTGCCAAGAGACGGGATTCAGTAAGTGCGAGACGGTTTGGGGTTGTAGAGCCGTACAGGTTACCTGGCCTTCGCCCACGGTCTCAGTATCGATGACTGTGACAACTCCGGGGATGTGAGGGCTACGTCGGGAGGTGCTGTGGATCGAAACCTCATCCTCAATCGCCACCGAGGGCAAGCTGCCAGCGAGCCTTCCAACCGCTTCCCCAAACATGGTGAGTCCTGTCTTGATTGTCTGTATCAATTTAAGAGAGAGGGGGAGAGAGAGAGAGAGAGAGAGAGAGAGAGAGAGCAAGACGGAAAGAAAAAGGAAACGATCAAAACCAGCATCGACCCCCCCCTCCTACAGACAGAGAACACAGCAGTCTGCAGCCAGGACAAACCAGGATCAATGGGGAACTGTTTTGATTAGTGCTAAAACCTCTCACTGCAGTGATTAGAAAATACATTACTGTTGATCAATTAGTAGCCAAGCGTTTGTTTCAATTATTAATGATCGGACAATTTACACAGAGTCTGTTTGTGGGCTGTTGTGAAGAGACTCCCAAGGACCAACATAATCAGGCGCCACACTGTATTGACGGCAATACCTCACCAGGAAGCCTGATTAACCTTTTAAATGCCATATCAGCTGCTCCGTCCATTAATGGTAATGGCGCGGGCTCCCACGTAAGCTGTTAGGGCTCATTAAGAGGATTTCAGGTAACAGGGGAATACAGAAACCTAGGGTTAAATGAACCTAAAACAGATGGAAGCAGCCAAGACAGTAATTAGGTAGCGCAAAGGACTAAAGTGTTTTGTGGAATTGTGCAGAATATCAGGACACAATAATTTGATGTGTGCAGTATTTAGAGAGTAACAATTGCTTAAGTTTGGGAGTGGTTGGTTATTGGCAACCGATGAGGGGTAAATTGGAATCAACGTCAATAAGCTTCACCCCAAAACAAGATTAGATTTGTTTTCTAACTAAACAATCACCGGCGAAAAAAGCAGACAGTTCGTTCCCAATAAACAGTTGTTAAATGCAACCTTGGATCCCAAATATAAGCATTAGAAAAAGGTGGCTTTTGCTAACCCGCAGAACAATTCTGTCAAGGTTACAAGCGTCAGTTAATGGAATGTTGATGTGCTATAACATCATTATCAACCCCGGATTCGGAAAGGAATGGTTCCTTTTCCAACAGAGTATTGTGGAGTGAGGCAGGAGAGCTTCGGAACAATTCGTCAGCTAAGTTAGTGCACTAAAGTCAGTTGGAAAAAACGAGAAAATATTGAGGTTCATCTGAATTCATGAGACTGAGACGTATAATAAGGATTTTTAAAAGCAAGAAATAAAGCATGAAAATCTTTCACTGAAATTTGATTTCGGTTGATTGCTAAACATTTTAAAAATCTGAATTTATGTTTGGTATTTCCATAGTCATATTTTGCACCCTCAACTAAGTTTCAATTGGTTGTTAGTCGATTGGCGGAATGCTTTTCTGGGGGTAATACTCCCTTCAGAAAAAAAACAATAATAATAATTTGGTCATTTAATCCATGACTGTTTGTGGGACGCTGCTGTGCACAATTGGCTGCTGCATTTTGCCCACAAAGTATAGTCAATTAACCTCACAGTGTATTCTGTGAAGCGCTTTGAGACGTCTCGAAGACGTAATAAGGCGCTACATCGAATACAATACAAAATCATATTTGTATAGCGCCTTTCACACCGAGAGGACGTCCCAAAGTGCCAGACAGCAGGGATTTGGACCCTGACTATCCAGCGCAAGGATTATTATAATACCAGTGTAAGCAGTACAGTATAAGGCATGAAACAGTTAATTGATTCACTGTCCCCTGTGGTCAGTGCTGGACTCACTTTGGCAGCACTGATGACTGTGGCTGTATAAGACTGGATATTGTCTCCACAGGCCCCACCACGGGATCGATGGCAGTGGATGAGCTGAGTTGGGGGGGAGGAAAAGACAGACAGGTTACATTAGATAAAAAGGTTCGACTCCAGCAGCAATTAGAGGTCTTTATACAGAGTAACCAAAAAGAGGAAGGTGTCGAGATTTGTTTTGGTCCCTTCAAGAATACCAGCGGAAACCTTTAAGCAAACTTACATTATTTTAATTTAAATCGACAGACATACAGAAGTATTTTTTTGCTTATTATGAGAGAAAATTATAAATATGTACAGGTACACACACACACTTACTTGACACACCAATAAAATATAATTCTGTGGACAAAACACATTGACTGTATGAACTCCTTGCTTGTTTTCACATTTGAAAGTGTATTTATTCTCTTACCGAAGGGGAAAAAAAATGAAACTACTCTCACACAGCGTCTCAAAATGTGAGAAAGCGAACAGAAGCCTTTTTATACTGGCCAATGAGAAAACGGGGAAGAGCAGAAAAATACTGCACCATTGCGACAATCCTCCTGTTGAATATTGCTGATTATCATCAGTTTCCCGACAACTTAACCGTTTCATCAAAAGACCTGTTGCTCAGCTGTACAGATAGCGTCAGGACATTGAACTATATATTAGGCTCACCCTCTAGTGCAGTGCTGCATTGTCGGGAGAGCCATCCTTTGAATGAGTCGTTTCACCGAGGCCCTCCTCTTCGACTGCGCCTTCGGTCACCCTCCTACCCCCACCCTCCCGGCCCTCCGGCCCTCCAGATTCCCAACCCCCAGCTCGGGTCCAAATCCTTGACTGTCCAGCGTCTTGGGACATCCTCCCAACATGAGTGGTGCTTATACAGATGTAATCTGTTGTTATCGTTGGTCAGAACGTGATCATAAAAAAAAGGAACAAAACTAAAATAAGCTTTTGTAAAGAGAAAAACAGGATCCAGTCCAACTAAATAATTAAAATTCGAATAACAGGCGGTGGATTTTTACGTTCTTGTAAAAAATTAATTTGTTTCCCCTTTGGTAAAGGCCTGACCCAGTGTGAATCTCAGGCGTACAGACCAGGAGGTTGCTGGTCCTTGCTTGGTTACCCGATCTCATCCAGAGCATTGACGGAGGCAGTACAATTGGTCTCACTGTGCCTGGGCTATGCACATGCCAAACTAAATCAATTCTGATTGCTATTCAGCAGTCCTTAACTCGACAGTGCACCTGTGTGGATGTCAGAAGGCACTGCACAATTCCACAGGCCTGTCAACACTCACTGCCTGACCTCACACATGGAAAATATCACTTGAGCAAGATAATAATAATAATCCTTGCATTTGATATAGCGCCTTATCACGTCGTTAAGCCGTCTCAAAGCGCTTCACGGGATATACTGTAAAGTGCATATTTTGTGGGCGAAACACAGCAGTGTCGCACAAACAGTCGTGGATTGAGTAACCAAATTATAATTTTTTTTTAACCAGAGGGTTGCTGGCCGGTGTACCGCAACATCAGGGTCTTTAGGAAAGGATGACAGCAAATTTAAAGGAAGGAGGGGGTTACGTAAGAGGAAAAATATTTTATTATTTAACTTTAATCATAAATGGCACTAATCCACAATCTGGAACAAATTCAGTTGATACCAGTAACCTTCAGGATACAATTAATCTTCACTACTCTTAACTCGGTCAAACTTGTCTGATGGAAAGACCAAGCAAGGCACTTCCCTGGGGCTGGTGGCAACCCTCCTTCTCATTGACATCTCCAAGCTGCTGATTCCTAACGCACCTGGCTTGGTGATCGGTAAGCGATCTGATAAATGGTGCAAGAGGTGAGGAGATCACTCAAGGTGAAACCTGCATATAAATGACCAGGGAATAGGATACTAACTTTTTGAAATGTGCTGTTAAACATCTGCAGTTTGCCCATCTCTTTGGATTTGTTTTAAACGATGACAAGAGGCAGATGACTATAGCTATCTTATTTGTTTGTTTTCGTCTCCTTTTGAATGTGTAACACTTAAATAGTTTATGATCTTCATCCTTCACAATACTCATGAATAATACAATGGAACCCATTTATTGCTAGCTCCTAAAATATCTAATCAGCTCATATTCACTTCCATCCAACTGTTTACTTCATAAGAGCATTGTCTTACTCACTCAAGGTAAAATCGCTTAAACCAGAAGGTGACATCTGAACACATCAATGCTCCATCCTATTCAATCCTGGCATTGTGACAAACCACATGAAAAATCTGGATCGTACATGAATACTTTCATGTCCTTTATTTGTTTCCCCTCCCAGTAAAACATCCCCTGTCCTTTCCACGATTACTCTACGTGGTTCGATGAAAGGAAACATAGGGGAAACAGGCATAGGAGGAGGCAATGCAGCCCATCCAGCCTGTTCCACTAGTTTATTACACCTTGTCAGATCGCTTAATCCTGATTTTGCCCCACCTTAGTCAAGGCTGACACTCCAATACAATGCTGGGGGAATACTGCATTCCTATAGGTGCCATCATTCGGATGAGACATTAAACTGAGGTCCTGTCAGCCTGTTCATAATGTTAAAGATCCCACACCACTGCTCAAAAAGGGAGTTTCTTCTGGTGTATTGCCCAACCATCCTCCAGATAAAATGGGTCATTCAGTTCATGGTTGTTTGTGGGACATTGCTGTGGGCAAATCGGTTGCTGTTTTAACTCACTAAAATCCTGTAAAGCACTTTGTGACCTGCTAAGATGCTACATCAAATGCATGGATTATCAACTGAGTGCAGTTCACATTTAGTATTTGGGAGATTGTGATTCCACGCTCAAACTGTGGCTGACACATGACTCATCAGATGACACAAATAAACCCAAAGGTTTCAGTTGAAATTTCTCACTTTGTTTCACTCGGATTTCTTTGAATTGCAATACTTTCTGCACCATCCTGACATTAGAGCTAAGCTGGATAAAAGTGAGTGCAGAAAACAATTCCTCTCTACCAAAGCGTTGTGAGAATGTGGAAAGCATTTAACCCAGATAGTCCGAGATGCAGAATCAAAGGCATTTATTTAAAAGGGAGATAAGATTCCTGGTATTAAGGGATATGGAGAAAAGGCAGAAAAAAGCTGCTGTAAACTACCTGTGTGACGGGTGCTATATAGTGCAAGTTGTTGTTGTTGTATAAATGCAAGTTGTTGGTGGTGGTGCAGACAGGATGGGACAAATTGATTATTCCTGTTCCTGGTGTGTCAAAGTGAATTCACGTCACTAATTGTGAATGATTTGCGTCACCGTTTTTATCCAGTGAACGGAGATGCAGCTCTATACAACCAAGAGATTTCCATCTCATCTCACCTTGTTTTCAGCGTAGGCAAGCCAGCGGCTTCCCAGTGCAATTGGGTTAGGATTCAGCCCAGGACATGGATAGCAGCCTGGAAAACAAACAGCAATAATCATCACTTCAAAATCACGTCTCGCCCCCTTTCTGAAGTCTACCTGCATTACACGCACAGCCAACAGCGCTGGTGGGTAAACTGCTCCAAACCAACCGTTATTAATAACAAAACGACAAATTACATTTGTATAGCGCCTTTCACATCGGGAGGACATCCTAAGGCGCAGGACAGTGACAGTGTTTCAGACCCGAGCTGGGGGGTCGGGGGGGGGGGGGGTCGGGGAAGGGGTGTGGCCGATGGCATGGTCGAAGAGGAGACTCTTGATTATTATTAATAATAATCCTTGCATTTCATACAGCGCCTAATCACGTCTTCCGAGACGTCTCAAGAGTATACTGTTAAGTGAATTGACTGTATTTTTGTGGGCGAAACACGGCAACCAATTGCGCACAGCGGCGTCCCATAACCATAAGCAACCATTATTATGTTTGAAGGAATTATTACCCCCGGAAAAGCGATCCGTCAATCGACTAAACCAGGTGCCTACTTACTGCTTGCTGGGTAAACAGAGCCAAAGCCACTCTGAAACTGGCCACAGGGATGGAGCTGCGCAATAGCCGGGAGCAACTCTCACTGTGGGACAACTGTCTGGCCACCGCTCCACACCTTTGCACAGCAGAGATGAGGCAGTCGGAGGGTGAAGTGTCTCGAGCACAAATACATTGCACCGAGAACACTCAAGACTTAGCTGATGAATTGGCTGCATTAAAAATATATTTCACACCCTGGAGGCAAGGAATCTTCAGTGAAGGAGAAGAATCTGTGCTTTCAGGGGGCATGAAAGAGACTTTAATGTAGAAGGCCGTTTGGCCCGTTGAGCCTGGGATGTTTTTAAATCCCAACGCCCCACCTGCATCGGCTTGAAATTAAGCAAAATCTGACAGTCATTCTTCTTCTATGAAGAAAGGCTTTCTTTGGCATTTTCTCTTTATGTTTGGGATCCTTTGCTGCTATTTCACTGTATTTGACATCAAGAGAGCCTGAAGGATGTGTCCCTCCGCACTTTCCATTCATGTATTCAGTGAACTGCATCTGCTTTGTGCGTTTGCTCATAAAACGCCATGGCTTACACACGCCTTAACAGCTTCACAAAGGCAGACAGTGGCAATGAAATATAGGTTAGTGCCCCCCGAAGGCATTATTTTCAAATGGATACGTGTAGCTAGAAGAATTAAAATTAACATTATGTATCATTGCATTGTGATGAATAAATTGGGGGAACTGGAAGAATTAATTGCCCTGGACACCGTGGACAGGAAGCAGAAAAGGCCATTCAACCCACATGGCTCAATTTCGCCTACATCCATATTCCATTGCCTCGTTGATCTTGAATCTGCTTCCAGGTGTGCAAGCAAAGTCTGAGTTGACTTCCCCTGCCAGACACTCTCTTACACTTGCTTAGACTGAGCTTAGGAACCCAGCATGTGAGAAAGTCACATTTCATGGCACCACAGACCATGAACGCATCAGTGCTCTTCACACCGGGCCTGAGTCCATCTGTGATTCTTTTTCCGTGCTCATATTTTACACCAACTAGGAACCTCTGACACGACCTTCCTCTTCCAGTTGTCTCTGTTGCATTAGCCTGAAATTCATTTGAGAGATTATTATTGAAAAATCTATGAGTGTTTCAGAAGTTGAGTCGCTCAGGCCTCAAAGCGTTAAGCAATATAAATAAAAGTGAACTGAGGAAATGATCTTTGGCATCGGTTCCCGAATTTCCGAAAAACAAAAGAGTGCTGAGATCAGCAGAAAACCAGTGACTTTGAACATGCAGGGGAGGCTTCCTTGACCTGCAGCAGACACGGTTACCTAATTCCTCCCATCGTGACCTCATCAAATATTAACCTCCAGCGCCACTGAACCCCATAAACGCTGTAAAGTACTTGCAAAAGTCCCACAGACAGCAAGTTCTGCTTGTTTACCGCATAAAAAACACCACCAGGTTGAAAGAAAGCCTCCGATACAAGTTTGCCTTGTGATAAATCATTCGAAGCAAAGCATTTTAAGGTGGGAGGGGTCCTTCGATCATACTTGGGATTTGGAAAAACTACAGATAAATCCCGACTCTCCAAATAAACACAGCATTGTAAGTGGACAATTTAATGGACTGCAATGTGCCTGAAGGATGCAATTTGTTTCCCTGGCCTCACAATGCTCTGTGCAAGATCTCAACATCTCACAGTGCTACAAGTGCATGCCGAAGTTTATTAGTGGAGAATTATCAAGGAGCTACACCAACTATTCCAGCACAAGAAAGATTAGTTTATTTCCAGCTTTGATGAAATTCACATTCTTAAACTGAGCATTTTCTTGCCTGAATTAATTTCCGGCGAGAGTGTAATGTCCCAAGGTTGTCCTGTTTCGAAGGCTACAGAGAAATCAATCTCTTCCTCTGAAGAACGTACAATGTACTGGTTAATGCTATTAAGGAAGTGGATTGGATGAAGACTACTTACTCCATGCCAGAGTGTCCACTGTTAACAATGTCATGACTAGAGCAGCACCAGATGTTCCCACGGATTATGCCAGAGATCCAGGGAGAGCTTTCGATGTCATGATAAGCCGCTGATTCAAACGTGAGAATTATCATTGATTATTATAACTTGCACTTAAATGGCAACTTTCACCGAAGATGAACAAGATGATGGCACAGAGCGGGGGTTGGGGGATTGGTGGGGGTGTTGGAAGATGAGCAGGAGAGAGAAGAGGAAAGAGAATTTAAGAGCATTGCCCTGGGGTACTGTAAAAGAGATGGGCTTTTAAAAGGGTTTCGAAGGCAAGGAGTAAAATGAAGTCATCTCTCCAACAACAGTGTTGTTAGAATTCCAAACAAAATGAACCTGTCCGGCCACAATCCCAATCCCGTTGATAAAACATTGTTGGATCCCACGAATCAGTCTACATTTTAATCTTACAGTATCCAAAGCTCTGATACCTACTTGTAACAAAGAATTTTTTCGTGAAAGTGCAGCTATCGAAGGCCGCAATCTTCTCCTGCAACACAACCACCAGGACCCTGCGGAAAAGGGGAGAAAGAAGAATATCACTAGATGTTGCTTCACATCAGCTTTTTTGGGGGGGGCGGGGGGTGGGGGCAGGACTCCCACACTGATAAACATGGAAACCCATCTCCCCACTCCATGAATTTCCAAACCAAGGAGTTCCAAGTATATATGGTTTGCATCTTGTCTGGTAGAACGCACACTCTCTACCAACAGAAGGACACGCCTAGTTTACTTAATCCCAGAGACCTGAAGAGCTGGTTAGCAAGAGGCAAGTTTTGGGGACGCAAGTGTACGTACATTTTGTGTACATTTTCTGTTCATCTCCCTACTATGCTCATTATTTATTCCCAATTCCTCCTTTCTCTTGGTCTCTGTTTTAAGAATTTCTGGCCCTCTCTTCACTTTCTCCTGCATTTCTTTGCCCAGGCCTTTTTGCAACTAATTCCAGGCTCACTCTTCATTTAAGCCACACAGCAGAAACCTTTCATGCAGCAGTGATTCCCACCCCCCCCCAGCACTCATTCATCTCAGTAAGGAAACTTGCCCAAGGTTTTGCTCTGCCGGGAATCAAACCCAGGTCCTCTCGCTTGCGAGGCGAGTGCTCCAACCACTAAGCTGCAAGACTTCATTTACAGGACAAAACATCTGGACCATTTAATACAAAATGTAACGTCAAGTACTGAAAGTTGCTCTAGTTCCCACAGAACATTTCAAACTGGATTTCAGATCTTGAGGACAAGAGATTAATTGGAGAATCAAAAATGGCTTTGATCTCGACTATTGGGATCTAAAGCAAGATCTAAAACAAGAAAGTGAGTGGTGTAAACTACGTTCTTCATCCAGAATTAATCTCACCATCTCAGCTATGTGTGTCCTCCCTCTTATTCCAAACCCTCGGACCCCATTCTCCCCCACACTGCGAGCATGCCAATTTTCCTGTTCTTTCTTGAAGTTTAATAAAGCGAAGGTTTTGCCGACGCACAGAGTATTGGCGGTGCCCCGGTTCAGTATGGATTCCCGTCAGTCGCTCACTGCAGGGCGAGCCTGCAATTCCGAAGCCAAATCCCTGTTTGTTGCTGTCAAAAGTCAATAAAAAAAAGAGCCCGACATTCCGTCAAATATGGTAGCTGTGAATCGGCAACACAACGTGAAGCCATAGGTTTTGCTGACACCCAGTGGTGAAAGAGCTCCATTCACTTTGTAAGTTAAAGCGCGCACGATTTAAAAAGCAAATGATTTCAGAAGCGGATATGTGTTCAGAAGGGTTCTCTCACCGTTGGCATCTCTTTCAAAAGCATTTTTTTTTTAAAAAAAGCACTATAATTGGCCGCCTCTCTTTCTGTCTGTTTGTATTTATTGCCATTTTTATTGTGAGGCCATGTTCCGCAGCTGAACAAGCAAGTGCTGAAATGTATGAGGTTAATGACCATGATTCTGCTGATGTTTGTTGTTACGCTCCTTTCACATTGCTGGGGCTGTTCGACGGTGATTTGATGCTTCCACCGTTTTGAGAGTTAACAACAACAAATCGCATTCATGGAGCGCCTTTTCACGTCAGGAGGACGTCCCGAGGCTGTTTAGGGTTTGCCGAGCTGGGGTTTGCCGAGCTGGGGTTTGCCGAGCTGGGGTTTGCCGAGCTGGGGCTTGGGTTCGAGACGGGCAGGAGCCATGGTGGGTGGAAAGAGATGATCGAAGGCGCGGTCAAAGAGGAAGTTCTTGAGACGGACCTTGAAGGAGGCGAGGGAAAGGTGCCAGGCAAAGGGACATTGTCATTACATACACTGTGCACGTTTAATCAGGATTCCACCCCCAAAACACTAAATACCAACAATATCTCATGATACAGTAGTGATATCATCCTACCTTTTGTTGCAGTGAAGATCGTAGATGGGAGTTTTGAACTGGATGGACTTGACCATTTCACCATTGCGAAGCGAGTGCAGATCAACACAGCAGTATGGTGGGCTGGTGATGAAAAGAAACATAAATGAAAATGTACTGAATTCTAAGCACCCAATATAGGCTGAACTGTTAGAACGACCTTACCCAATAGGCAGGTCCTGCTGAAGTTCCACAACCTAAGCCCCAGTTTTTGCCCACAAAATATCCAGTCAATTCACTTTACAGTATATTCTGTGAAGCGCTTTGGGACGTCCTCCCAACGTGAAAAGCGCTATATCAAATGCAAGGATTATTATTATTATTATCCTGTGAAGCGCTTTGAGACGCCTCGATGATGTGATAAGGGGCTGTATCAAAGGCAAGGATTATTATTATAAGGTCATCAAGTGCTATTCTCCATCGCTCCAACAAATGCCATTTCTCATTGTTGCTCAAGATTTACACAAGTTTATAGTTACTTAACCTCTTCCCTTTTATATTTTATGCCTCATTTATAGAACTGAACCGATCACCATTTGTTTGGAATGCACGCAACACCTACAGAAACCAAAGGCTAGAAACACTGCACGGAGAATAAGTTTCCCCTTGGTTGGTTGTAAAGCACAGCCTGAACTCGAGTGGAATGAACACTTTAGAAAGAAAAAAATACACAACAAAAAAACTAAAGTTTTAAAGCTGGACGCACACTGTAGATGGAAACACTCAAGCGCTAAATGAGAAAAATCTGCCCCATCATTTTGAACTTAAAAACATTTCTTTTTTTTCTTGAAAGAGGAAATCAATCAATATTTTCGTGCAAGATGCATTAATTTAATGAAAACACTGTGTACAAGATATCAGAAAGTTAGCGGCATCAAAACAATGAGAATAATGAGTTTCAGAGAAAAATGAGTTCCCTGAACTACAGAGAAAGGGAGTGAGAGCGGTACTCAACTCAACGCACAAAATCCTGATTATGGTCATAGCCATTTGAGACAGAAATATCAGCAGTCATCAAATGTGCAAATAATTAAACTAAAAAAAAATGGAAGTATCATTGTGATTTAAACTAGGAAATTTAAACCAGACCAAATTAACATTCTGTCCCTGGGTAGTTGCAACATGAAAATAGGTCAGAAGGCACTGAATATGTCTTTTTTTTGTGTTTTTTTAATTGGACTATACGTTTTATTTGATTCATTTTGCACCATTAGTGCAATACCACAATTAAAAAGTGCGACAACTCAGGGAAAAATGGCAGTCATGTTTTATGCTGATGAAAATCCACGTGTTAGGGTTTTACAAGCGTCTTTTAAAAGTTCCTTCCATGTTCGAAATGTTGTATTTTTCTCCCAACCTTCATCCCAAGGGTAAGAAAGAAAAGTACTATCTATAATCGTCAAAATTCATTGCAGTTTCAAAGTCTTTGAAACTGCAGTGAGTTTCCTCTTCCCTCCCCCCTCGACAATCAGCAAACTTGGTGTCACTAACCACTTCTGGACCCATGTTTGGAAATTTAGTCCTGTCCTACACTCTGGTCCATAGTCTTGACTCTATGCTTCAACATTAAAACTAAGACTTCATCATAATTATGTTCATGTGTCTTTCAGCTGTCAAGCACTGCCTCTGGAACACCCAAATCAAAAACCATCCATTGGTATCTACAGCTAATGAAGACGGGAAACAAATGTGGGTGTTACATCCTTTGCACCAGAAATAATTACAGATCTGTGTGCAAGGATGTCACTGCTTTAGGATATATCAAAACCAAGGTCCTGCCAACCAACTGTGAAGAAACTGGAATACAACTTCATATTCGTTACCACAATCATTCAAATGCAACCACACAATTTACAGGCTTGGGTTACTTTCCTCTCCATTTGTTAGCACTTAAGCTTGGTACCCTCACCTCTGTTAGGTTGCTTCCTGTGCTTTGATATCCTCCCGTTAGAAAAAACATATCGAAGGTATCTTTTAAGGCCATACCACCTCCTTTATCCAAGCCAATCTTGCACAATCATGGTTTACCAGTCTACAATAAGCTAAGCTCGATTCTTGTGGGTCGGGAAATTAATGCTTTACTGCCGTCTAAGCGCTCTGGGATGCTAACCTGCATGAGAGGTGCTATATAAATGCAAGTTGTTGCTGTTCTCTTGTGTAGCTATCTAGTGCATTTTCTGGTCCGCTAGCATTCGAACACTTCAAACTCTTGCTTTAGAGTCCTTTAGAGTGGCTTGTCAGAACTCGGAAGAATTCCTATTGTGAACACGGTGACACCCTAATTGTCTTGTGAAATCCTTCAGGACAAAGGGGGAAAGTGAGGAGCTGCACCTCACCTGCCAACCAACACCCAGAGATCACAGGTGCTGGGTTAGCAGGACTTACGTTGGATCACAAAATGCACATTGGAGTAATTAGGAGTAAACCAGGAAAAGACACGGGGGGAGGGGGGGGTGGAAAGAGGAGGAAACAGAAACCTGCCATTTAGTTGGCCGTGCGCATTATCAGGTGCCAAGGGTAAAGAATCCCATTGCTTAGCGACAGATTTATCCTCTAACCACATTAATAAATCAGGAGGCTCAGAAACAAAGTGGAGGAGGACATGAAATGTTACTAAACCGGCAGAAGATAGTAACAGGAAGAGTTCATTCAAGCCTCTTCACCAGCGTATTAGATGTATCCTGGGAGGCACCTTGAGATGTCTCAACGACATGATAAGGTGTTATGGGGGCTATACAAATGTAATTTGGTGGCTGTTGTTGATTTCGGATACACAACTCCAACTTCAATTCGACTCTGGACCCGACTTACACAACGGACTGGAGTTTGAGCGTCAACTGACAAACATTTGAGCAATGCTTAACTGCGTTTTCTGCTTCTCCAAAGAAGGTTTTCCTTTTGAAAGCGTCCAACAGGAGATGATCAGTCATTTGACCCAGAAGACTGCAATACGTACTGGTCCCGAGTCTCGTGGTCTGCAAATTTCTTCTCTCCAGTTGATGAATTACAGTACCAAAGAAGCTGTGTGCGCTGTTTTATAGCACTACACTACCGCAGTTGGAGATACACGAGACGTCCACACTTGCTCTTTGTTGCACACTTGCCACTCTTTTCAAACCTCGGAAGTTCCAACATTTGTTACAATTGGAGCTTTAATAGCCAGAGGATTTGGCCAACTCGTTCCGCCATCTGTCTCCGTCTGACATCCAAACCGAGGTTTGGCGACGCGAAGGGCAGTGGATGTAAATCAACATGCTTCCTTCACTCTTATTCAACCCCGGGACTTCAGAACAATAATACAATTCATTAAAACAAATATAAACTCTTAGAATTTCCACGCATTACGTTTTAAAAGCTCGGAATTCTGGTTCAAGCTGTAAATCCACAGAAAGGCTCGATTTATTTAAATACCGCGACAGAAAAAAATATAGCTGAGGCCAAAGTGGCTCTTAAGGTCACGTCGCTCTGATTAATCATAGTTATTTCAATGGACGACAAAAAGAAAAATCACACAGATGCAAACAATTAATCTATTTTTGTAGGCAACAAGTGAAGTGGGTGGTAACTGAGAAGTTTTTTTTTAAAAAAAAGAAGTCCTGTCACAATATTCCGCTTTTCTGCCCGACCTCATCACACAACAAACACTCACCACATGAGAGACGTTTCGAGGCCTGAAGGGCCACTTTGATTCCAGATCACTGCAGGCATTAGCAGGAGTGTAATTAGGGTAAAAAGTTCAACCACAGTTCCATGTCTAAAGCTGTGCCAGAAATCAACTTCCCCTTATTCACTGTGCTATACTGTACTGAACTGAACCCTCCCTAAAAGCCCATATTGAAAACACGTTTCTGCTTTTATAGAGCTGTTTCCTTTTCAAATTAATTATTATGCCACTTTCTGGATGTAATTTCTAGGAACTGAACCGCTACAAGACCATCTTTGTCCTCTCTCTGGTATGGACTAGTAGCAACGAAAATGTGCCGTGCCCAAGACATAAATCATCGTAAAGTTAACTGATAAAAGTCTCTAAAGATTGTGCCAGTTAGAACCCACTGTATTAAACTGTGGTGTTAAAGTAAGACCGGGACATAATTCTATTCCGTTTGAAGCTGTTTTGCACACTGACTTTGAAGGTAATTTATTTTTAAGCCCTCCAAACCCTTGTTGTGAAGTTTTCAGAACTTACAAGCATCTCAAGTCTTAGATCACATGTAATTAGAGCGCTCGCTTTGCAAGTGAGAGACCTGAGTTCAATTCCAGGCAGGTCAGGGCGAAACCTTGGGCAAGTTTCCTTACTCCACACAGAGCCTAATAATAATCCCTCCAAAACAAAAAACAATAATAAAATGGTCATTTTCAATCCATGACTGTCTGTGGGACATTGCTGTGCGCAATTGGCTGCCGCGTTCGCCCACAAATATACAGTCAATTCGCTTTAGTGTGTTCTGTGAAGCGCTTTGGGACGTCCTCCCGACGTGAAAAGCGCTATATCAAATGCAAGGATTATTATTATTATTATTAATTTTAAGTCCCGTTCCTCAGAATTCCCCTACTAACTACAGTGTATATATATTATACATATATAAGCTGGCTGTATAAAATAAGAACTAACTATAGTGTATATATACATATATAAGCTGACTGTATAAAAGAATATAAGAACACAGTCTTTACCTTGTGTACTGAATAAGTATTCTGCTGTATTATACAAAAAATGTCTAAAAAGGCTGATCTGTGTAGAGGTGCCCAACTGGCAAATTTAGGAGGAATCGAAATATCGTCAAATGCCTGTCTACCTAATGTTCTAATGCATTAGCCATGAATCAGACGGCTTCAATATAATTGGTTGACAGTGAAGTTAGGTTTAGGAATTAGCTCCAAGGAACTGAGAGACTTTATGAGAGACTCCCTCATCTTTGGAAAAAAAAACTAACACTTTGTTCTCATCCCAAAATGTCACATCAGCTGATCAGAGCAGCAAGATTGCCAAAGTCACCAGGATATTCTCCACACCTGCACTGTCAGGTGAGAGACAGAAGAGGGCACAGGAACAGTCAGATGGAAAGAGAATGCACATTAAAATC